TTGTGTGGCGGAATACCAAAGGGCTCGTTTTGAAGCGGGATGCTATGCTAAAGGATTCCCTTCGTGAGCGAAAAGCGCTGGCAAGAGCACAAAAAACACCAACAACACCCACACCAGCAAACACACCATGTTTTCGGGCACATCTCTCTGGGCCATCGCCACACTCCAGCCGAAACCATTCGTTGCAGTTTTATTGTTGGCTTGCTGTTCATTATCAGCGTTTTTCGTTAGCAAATATGAATATGTTGTATTCCGCCGCAGAAAAGGGGTCCTTTTGTATTTCGCCATGCAAGGATTCCCTCGTTCATTCAGCCATGCCACACAGAGAATCCTTTTATACTCCGCTACTTGGGGAATCCTGTTGTCGTCAGCCGCAACGTGGAATTCTCATTGCAATCTAAACAAGGGGGATCCTGCTGTACCCGGCCGCATGAGGAATCGTGTTGCGTTCCACCGCAAGAGGGACTTGCGTATTGCAAAGCATTCTGTTTGTGGTGGGGTAGGACAGGATTCATGTGAGGTAAGAAAAGTCTTCGTTTCGACCAGACTATGCACACTTTGTTGTTGTGGCTTTTGTTTAAACAACAAAACGCTCAAACCGCCCAGCCCTGCATCGTGCCTGGTGCGGGAGGAGGAACATGAGAAGGAGGAGGAGGATGAGGGGGAGGAAAAGGAGGATGATGAGACGACGAATACAAACATTACCTTAATAAAGGGAGTAATGGTAGCAATCCTATTAATACGAATAGTAGACATGACAATGACAACATGAGGAACCATTCTTATTAATGTTATTCAGAACATGAGCAGATGATACGAAAGAGTCGAGCCATTAGAGAATTATCCGGGCGAAGGACCCAACCATAAGCAATTGTTCGTAACGCGTTGTGGGTGCCGCTTTCGGTGGAACTCCCTATGGGGCCACGAAGCGCTGCCCTGGGTGGGGGAACCACGTGCGAACTGCGCCACTGGGGCGAGCCTTCGGTGGAGCTCCCTTTTGGGCCACGAAGCGCTGCCCTGGGCGGGGGAGCCGCATGCGAACTGCGCCACTGGGGCCTTCGGTGGAACTCCCTATGGGGCCACGAAGCGCTGCCCTGGGTGGGGGAACCGCGTGCGAACTGCGCCACTGGGGCGAGCCTTCGGTGGAGCTCCCTTTGAGGCCACGAAGCGCTGCCCTGGGTGGGGGAAACGCATGCTAGCTGCGCCACTGGGGCCTTCGGTGGGGCTCCCCATGGGGCCACGAAGCGCTGCCTTGGGTAGGGGGACCGCATGCGAACTGCGCCACTGGGGCCTACGGGGGAACTCCCTATGGGACTACGAAACGCTGCCCTTGGTGGGTGAACCGCATGCGAGAGCAGCCACTGGGGCCTTCGGTGGAGCTCCCTATGGGGCCACGAAGCTGCCCTGGGTGGGGGAACGCATGCTGGCCACTGGGGCCTTCGGTGGAGCTCCCTATGGGGCCACCGCTGCCCTGGGTGGGGGAACCGCATGCGAGGCTGTGCCACTGGGGCCTTCGGTGGAGCTCCCTATGGGGCCACGAAACGTTGCCCTGGGTGGGGGAACCGCATGCGGGCAGCCACTGGGGCCTTCGGTGGACTCCCTATGGGGCCACAAACGCTGCCCTGGTGGGGGAACCGCATGCGAGCTGCGCCACGGGGGGCTTCGGTGGAGCTCCCTATGGGGCCACGAAGCGCTGCCCTGGGTGGGGAAACCGCGTGCGAGAGCAACCACTGGGGCCTTCGGTGGAGCTCCCCATGGGGCCACGAAGCGCTGCCCTGGGTGGGGGAACCGCATGCGAACTGCGCCACTGGGGCCTTCGGTGGAGCTCCCTATGGGGCCACGAAGCGCTGCCCTGGGTGGGTGAACCGCATGCGAGAACAGCCGCTGGGGCGTTCGGTGGAGCTCCCTATAGGGCCACGAAACGCTGCCCTGGGTGGGGGAACCGCATGCGAGAGCAGCCACTGGGGCCTTCGCTGGGTGGGGGAACCGCATGCGAACACCCCCAGTGGGGCCTTCGGTGGAGCCCCCTATGGGGCCACGAAGCGCTGCCCTGGGTGGGGGAACCGCATGCGAACACCCCCAGTGGGGCCTTCCTAGGCCGTCTCAGAGAACTCTTGGGGCCTCTGTGGCTGTCTTCGGATACTCTTGGCCCGTCTGACGCCTTCGGAGGCCGTGGTGGCCCTTCTGAGCCGTCTTGGTGCCTTCCTGGAGCGCTTGAAGGCCGTTCTGGGGCCTTCTTGGGATCCTCCTTGGCGATCTTGGAGTCCTCTTGGGCTGACCCGGGGCCCTTTTCGGGGCCTCGTGTGTTGTCTTGGAACTATATTGGGATCCCCTTGGGCCTTCTTGGGCGGCCGGATACCCAAACTGGCTTCAAGACAGTCCATGGTTTTGGCCTCCTCGGGTTCTCCCGGTTGGCTTCTTGGAGCTTTCTCGGGCCGTTTTGGAAGCCTTTCGAGCTTTTTTGAGGCTGTCGTCAGAGCCACTTGAGCCGTCGTGGACCATCTAGAGCCGAGTTGGTGTCGTCTTGATTGTCGGAAAAGCTGCCCTGGAGGCTACGCTGGCAATTTGGATGCCGCAAAGACAGCCAGAAAACTAATTCAGATGTGAGAGAATTCGGGCGCAACATCACGTATGATTAATTGGCTGACGCCGCTCCGCCGACCCCTTGGGGCGGCAGTAACAGTGAAAAACGGAGTTTGCGGAACGATTTCTGGGGAATCTTGGGGTTTCAGCTTCTGTGGATTTCGTCTGGGGCGGTTGGCGGATCGCCGTTTTGCTTTTTTTTTTGTCTCTCTCTCTCTCTCTCTCTCTCTCTCTCTCTCTCTCTCTCTCTCTCTCTCTCTCTCTCTCTCTCTCTCTCTCTCTCCTGGCAACACTTTTGAAGCCTCTTGGGAGCCGTTTTGGGGCCTCTAGGGGCCTCTTTTGGGGTTCTCGGGGGCCTCGTGGGAGCCTCTTGGGGTCTAGTGGCGCCTCAGGTTTTTTCGGGGCCGAGTGCTCTGTTCGGGTTCCCTCTCTGGGTCTCCTCTTGGGGCCGTCCTGGGGTCCTCCTGGGTCGTTTTGAAAGCTTTGGGGCCGTCTTGGGGCCCTCTTGGACCGTCTTGGAGCCCTCTTGGGGGCCTCTTGGGCTATCTTGGGTCGATATTGAAGGCTTCTTGGGTCGTTGTGGGCCTCGTGAAACCCCAAGAGGCGAATGTGCTAAAAATATATGTTTCCCTAAGGGAATGGGACGATTTTGGCTTCTGGAGGGCCTCTTGGGACGCCTCTTGGTGTCTTCTTGGGGCGTCTTTCGGGCGACTTGGAGCGATCCTTCGGCGACTCGTAGCCCTCTTGGACCGTCGGGGGGGCCTTTTGGGGCCCTCTTGGTCCGTTTAAAGGCCCCCTGAGGCTCCAAGGGTGCGGCCGACACCTTTGCCCCCCCCCCCCCCCCCCTCTCCCTCCAAACCGGCCGGGCCAGGCTCCCGGGGGAGGGGTTTGGGGAGGGGGAAGCATCTCACACGCCTTGACCCCAAGGGGTCGGCGGATAGAAATATACGTCTTCCCATAGGAGTTCGACGATTTTGGCCTCTTAGGTCCCTCTTGGGAATGCTCTTGGAGGCTTCCTGGGCCGTCTGGGAGGCCTCTTGGGCCATCTTGGGGCCATCCTGGGCGTCTTGGGCCGACCTTTTGGCGTCTCGGGTGCCTCTTGGGTCCTCGTGGGGGCTGCTTGGAGCCCTCTGGGGCCTCGTGGGGTCTGATGGCACCTTTGCTCCCCCCTCCCGTCCAAACCGGCCGGGCCGGGCTCCCGGGGGAGGGGTCGGGGGCGGGGAAAGCATTTCGCGCGCCGGGACCCCAAGGGGTCGGCGGATTTCGCGAAGGTTGGGCCACGTGCTGGGGAGTGCCTCTCTCTTTCCCCCCTCTCTCTCTCTCTTTCTTTGTCTGCCGCCCATTTGGGGTTCAAATTTTTCTGGAGGCCTTAGAGCCCCCGGGCGTCCGGCGGTTCCTTTGGGGCGTCTCGCGGGGGGCCGCGCAGCTCGGCGCCGCGATTTGCTACTAGGCTGGCGCCGCGGGCCCGCGGCCAGCCAGGGCGGCAGCGGGTTCGCAGGCGGAGGCCGAGGCCCAAATGCTTGGGTCCGCCCATGGGGGGCTGGTCGCCCACGGGCAAGAGGCGGGCGCGAAGGCGCCAGCGCCTCGCGGCGGGGCAGCGCGGAGTGCGGCGCTGGCTCAGAGGTCCGGTGAGTTGCGCCACTAGCGCTGCGACAGCGCCGAGCAGAGCTGCTGGGCCGAGGAGGCCGGGGTCGTGGCATGGCGCTGCTCATGGTCCTTGGTGGGGCAGCGGCGCCGGCGGCGCCCCGGGCTTCGGGCGAGGGCGGGCTGTTCAGTGGGGCCCTTCAGCTTATGCGAGGTGGCCGAAGAGGAGGGCGCCGAAGAGGAGGGCGGGGGCGCCGCGGAACTTCTGGCCTTGGCCCGCCGGCAGGGCGGGGGGCCAGCGGCCGCGGAGTCCCCGCGAGGTGCCCGGCGGCCCAGGACGGCCCGTCGCGGGCAAAGGCGGGGCGCCGCCCAGGGTCCCGCCCGAGGATCTATCCAGGGACAAGGGCCGGGCGGGTCGGCCACTCTGGTTGCGCGAGGATGAGGCGGCTGCGCCCGAGGGGCGGGCTCCAGAGGTCGAGGAGGCGGCCGCGCAAGGAGGGCGGTTCGCGCGACGTCGCGAAGGGGGCTCGCCCCATCTGCCTCTGCCGCCACCTCGGCCCGAGGACAAGGGGAGCTGGCGGGGCCTCCAGCATGCGCGCTTCGCCTTCAGCGGGTGCGGGGGCCTTCTCGGTGGAACGCTCGCTGCGGTTCGGGGGGTTGCTTTCGGAGAGTGCTGGCCCTGCGCTTCCGGTGTTGTCCTGCTCGTGCTGGGCGTGGGCCTGGTAGTCGGCGTGGCTCGCGGTCTGCGCTCGATGGTCGCCGGCTGCGTGGTCGTGGGGCCTCTCAGGATGTTCTCGTCCCCGCCGATATGGCTGTTTGGCTTCTGCCCGCAGCCCGCGCCGGCGCGGCCGGCGGGGGGTGGCGGGGTCGATGGGTCGGTGCCAGAGCCGAGGGGCCCGGGGACATCGTGCCTGCGCGACGACGCCTTCCACGCGCAGCTCCGCGCGCGAGTTGCTGAGGGCACGGCGCGCCGCTCATCGAGGTCAGCGACGCGGCAGCGCGCTTGGAGCACCCTCCCTTGCGCGCAGGGATGAGGTCCAAACGATCGGGGCACGCGCGGCAGTGCAGCGCCGCCGTCGGCTCCGCGTCGAGGAGGTCATGGACTTTGTTGGGGGTGTCGCAGGCCGAGGCGCCCCACCTGTGCCGGCTGGCGCTTTGCGGGGGCGGTGGGAAGCGCGCTGTCTGCGCGCCGTGCTGCGGCCAAGTGATCGAGGGCACGGGCGCTAATTTGGAGGCCCCGCCCCTTTTAATCGCGCCGGGCAGCGCGGGCTGTTGGCGCGTGGGCGTGGGCCTGCAGCGAAGCATGCCGGGTGCTGGGGTTGCGAGGCTGCGCCGAGATGAGCGGCGCATCCAGGTGCTGTGGGAGGGCGGGCTACCGCTCGAGGAGGCCTGTTTCGGGCCCGCCAGCGGAGTTGCGCGGGGTCGGGGTCCGAGCCCGCGGAGGCCAAGGGCGCGGCCCAGGGGGCAAGATCGACCGGCTGGGCGCCGGGCAAGGGAGAAATTCCGGGGCGGCGCGGGTCGGCGCCGCGCAGCTGCTGCGGGCGCGCCGGCGCGCGGCGGAACGCATGAGCTGCGGGCAGCGCGGCAGCGCGTGCCCGGCGAGGCGGCGCGCTGAGATGTTCGCCCGCGGCGGGTGTGTGCATTTTGGCTGGGTCTTGCGTGGCGGGGTCGTGTTCTGCGTTGCCGCGGCCGCGCGGGCGCGGCCCGGCGGCGCCCGGCGACCTGCCCCGCGCGGCTGCCCGCGGGGTGGCAGAGGAGCAAGGGGGGCCGGCGAGGAGGAGCGAGGGGGAGAGGAAGGCGACGTTCCGAAGTTCGAGCGCGGCCGGGCTGCCCGCGGCGGAGGAAGCAGTGGTGGGCCCGCGCGGGGGGTCGAGGGCACCCGCTGGGCCTTCCCAGGAGGTGAGGTTCAAGGGCGAGGGGCCTGTGGCTTGCGCCGCCGCGCCGTGCTGGGCGCCGGCGGCGGCCTCTCGCGGGCGGGGCCCGGGCTGTTCGCGAGCCGCGCGGCGGCTGCGACGTATTTGCGCAGGGGCCTTCGGCGCTGGGCATCGAGTGCCCGGGGAGGTGCTCGCAAGGGGGGCGCTCCTCGCCGCGCGTCCTGGGCGTCGCAGAGAGGCCCCAGCAGTCCGAGGGCTTCGACGACCAGAGCGAGGCATGCAATGCCATCGGAGAGTCGCCGGCGGCCCTCCGAATCGATAGCGCGGTAGCTTCGTGGGGGCGGAGGGACTGGTGAACCCGAGGGGCTTAGGAAATCGCCAACGAGTGCCGGGGAGTGCCGCGCGGCGGCGCGCGAGGAGAGCTGGGCGGCCGCCGTGGGGCCGCCCGCGAGGGGGCCGCTCCCGCCGCCGCCGCCGCGGGCGGAACGCCCCGAAGGGATGTCCCGCCAGTCCGCCTTGGAGGCGGAAGTCGCGGATGGCGCCGGTCTCCGGAGCAGGGCCGGCGGGGCCCGTCTGGCCTGGGCCGCAGTCGCGCCGCGAAGCTTCTGGCGCGGTCGCTGGCTCCGCTGGCGGGGCCGCCGGGCATCGGCCGCTCCGCGCCCGCGCCGATGCTGCAGGGCCCGCCCGACCGCGGGCGCGGACTGAGGGCGGGGGCCAGCGCCGACAAGGGGGGCGGGAAGAGCGTTTCCGCGAGGTGCCGCGGAGGTCCGGCGCCGCGGTCGACAGGGCAGGCCCCTTTGGGAAGGGCGCGCCGCCGCCAGCTTGCTGGCCGACGTCGCGCGCGGCCCGGGCGTCCAGAACGCGCGCGAGGAGGATGGGGGGCGGTGCGAGTCGGCGCCGTCCAGTCGATCCCCGGGAGGGCGAGTTGATGGCGTCTGCAGCTCGGGGCTGCGCGATCTGCCCCGACAACATGGGGCGCAAGTGTGGCCGAGCAGGCCTGTGGTATCTGGGTGGCGTGCCTGGCGCGCGGCCGGGGGCGCTGGGGCGAGCGGTCAGAGGCCCTGGGCGCGTGATTCGGTCTCCGCGAGGACGAGCCGCGGAAGTGCGCGAGTCGGTGCAGTCAGCGCGCGCGGGGGGAGCTCAATTCAAGGCGGCGCGGCGGGCCCGCGTGGAGAGCCAGGGAGGTGCTTCGAGTCCGCAACAAGGATCAGCCTCGCAGAGGGGATTCCCCGCGCGCCGCCCTCGCCCCCGCGGATGGCGACCTCCTCCTCGACCCGCCTGGCCCTGAGGGGTGCTGCTGGGCGGCGGTCTTCGCTCGCCTGGAGCGCTAAGCCCAGACAGCGTTCTGGGGCGGGGCTTGCCTGGCTCAGCTTCGCCCCCCGGCGGCCTGCGAGGCCCCCGGGGGAGGGGGTTGCGCCGCGGGCGGAGGAGGGGGCGCAGGGCATGGGGCGCGATCGGCGAATGGATTTGGATAAGGAAAGAGAGCTGGAGGCGGAGGAGGAGGTTGCTCAGGCAGAGGAGGGCCGCGGGCGTTGCGACCGCAGAAGGTCATGAAGGTCGCGGCACAGGAAGAAGTGGCATTGTCGCTCGAACGCGATCTTGGGGGGGTCAAAGGTGAAGCTCAAATGCCGCGGTGCGTCGTGCCGCGATGGGCGCCCCAGCGTGGCCGAGGCCCGCGCGCGTTCTCGCGCCGAGGCAATCGGGCGGGCTGACGAGCTGCACTGGGCGATGAAGTCTCAGCTCGCAAAGCGGGGTGGGCTGATGAAGACGGGGCCGAGGATCCCGCCCGCGTCGAGAATCGCGGGGATGCGGAAGCTGAGGGGGGGGGGGGGGCGCAGAAGTGGCAGCGCAGCGCGGTCCAGCGCGGGGCGGGGCAATCTTGCCAGCGCCCCCGCCGGCGCGCAGGCGTCGAGCTGATCGCGCCCGAGGAGCGCCTCGACGTGAATTTCACCGCTCAGGGGCCAGGGCTGCAGCGGTGCACGTTGGGCTCGGACCTGGAGTGGCGCGCGGGCCGCGGCAAGAAGGAGGCGTTGATTCGCCCGGGGGAGCTGCCCCAAAATATGCCGCTGGGCGCCGCGCGCGTACCGTCGCGCCGCCAGGGAGGTGCCAGGTGCGCCAGGTATCGGGGGGATCGGGGATGCTGGATGGGGGTGCTCCAGGGCGCCGTCGAGCGTGGGGGCGAGGGGCTGGCGGGGCAGGCGCGCCCCTGCCAGCGCGCGAGGGCGGGCTGGGTCGGGGGGGGGGGTGCGCGTCCAGGAGCCAGAGGCCGCCGACGAGGGGCCTGGATGCGCTCGCGCGCGCGTCGTGAGCCATCGAGACCGTCTACCAATCGGCGAGCACCTGGCCGCGTGCATCGCGGGCGTCCGCGCCCGGGCGAGTCGGAGGAGCGGCAGTGCGTCTACGTCGACGCCGCGGCGGCGCACTTGCGCGCCCGCCCTGGGCGCCTGGCCAGTGTCGGGGGGGTTGTGGAGGAGGCCTGGAGGTGGAGGGCGGCTGCGCGGGGGGGCGCAGCGGGGGCGGGGGCCCGCGCGGGCGACGCCGACGCCTGCGTCGCCATTGCGGAGTCGGACGTTCGTGCGTTCAGCCACGTTGCCGTGAAGCTCGGCCGCGACAATGTTGCTCGGCGGCCTCTCCGCCCGTTTCGTCCGCGCGCGCGGCGGCGCGCGCTGTCCAGGCTGATCCGTGGGGGCGCGCGAAATTGGAGGTGGTGGTGGAGAGGATTGCGACGCTCGGGGTGGGTCGGGGATTCGGTTTTTGCTGATGACGGGGCGCCTGCAGGTCCTGGCGCCTCCTCGCCAAGACCCCGCCGCCCGCCGGTAGATAATGGCGCCTCCTCGCCAGGGCCCCGCCGCCCTCCGACCGGACTTCGCCGCGGGCCGCCCGCTCGCGGAGGTGCGCTTCTGGAGGGGCGCTCCACCTCCGAGATGCCGGGGGGGGGGGGGGGCGCGGGCGCCCGGGGTCGGCAAGGCGTCGCGCCGGGCGTCGAGCCGAGGCGGCCGCGGGCCAGAGGCGGAAGGCAGGAGAGGAAGCGGAGAAGAGCGAGGATCCACGGTGGCGGGTCTCGAAGAATTGGAGCAACACCGCGCGGCGGAACAGCGGGGGGGAGGAACAGGGCAGCGCCGCGCCGCCGGCCCGCCCGCGCTGGACGGGGGGGATAATCGGCGCGATGAAGGTCTAGGCGTCTAGGCTGGGACGCAAAGCTGGCGCCGAGAGATGGGCCGGCGAGGCGAGGCGGGGGGGGCCGCGGTGGAGATTTGCGACGACGCGGATGCCGAGACAGGGCCCCGCCCAGGGCATGACGCGATGGGGGGCGAGGTTCGAAGGCTCTGCCTCAGGAGGCGCAGGCAGAGATGTATTTGCATGGGTGATTGGGCTTCGAGCGCAGCGGTTCCAGCCCGGGTCAGCAGGAATAGTGGTTCGCAGACCCATGGGCGGCCAGGGGGGGCCCTTGGCGGGCCTCAGTGGGGGCGCGAAGGGAATGCGATGGCCATCTTCACGGGCGAGCTGTTCCTCGCGGCGGCGGGCGCAGGGTGCAAGCCGCCGGCCGGGCGCCCCGCCCTGGGCGGCAGGCGCCCGAAGGCGCGCGACTTGGGCATCTGGGCTATCCGAAGGAAGGGCGGCTGGCGGCGCCGGCGGTGCACGCGCGAGCGCGTCTTGGACGCCGGGGGCAATCCCAGCGCCGGGCGTCGCAAGATGTAGCGGTTTCCTTGCGCGTCTCCAAAGGGCGCAGGTGGTCGCGGGGAGGTGCCGACGGGGGCCGCGGGCGCGGGCCGCGAGGGGGGGCGGGCGCGAGCGTCTGCGCTCTCCACTTGCTCGAGTGCGTAGTCGACGTCGTGATCGAGGAGGCGCCCGGGCGCGCGCCGAGGCCCCCCCCCGCCCATTTCGCGCCGGTCGAGGAGGGCGGGGAGGTAGAGGTAGGAGGTGGGGATTTCGAGGCGTCGGCCGGCGGCCAGCGCGTCGGCGGGGGCCGAGCGGAAGAGCTAGAGTCAGGCGGTGACTGGGCCGAGGGGGCTACTGACTCCCCCTGGGAGGAGGCCGGCAGCGTCTCGGCGGTGGCCGAGCCCGACCGAGCAGCGAAAAGTGAGGGGGCGGGGGGCCTCGAGGAGGAGCACGAGGATAACCGCGGGCGCCCCCTGCAAGAGCATGGCCCAGTAGCGCGGGGGGCGGCAGGGGGAGGGGTCCAGCGGAGGCGCGCAGGCCGCCCAGTGAGAGCATCGCCACTCTTCGACGAAGGACTGCCCAGGCGGGATCCTGGGCGGCGCCCCGCGCTGGGGCGCGAGGTGCCGGATCCCTTTGGCCCGCCTGCGATTCGCCCGGAGCCCCCTCCCCTCTCGGCCCGCCCGCGCTCGAAACCTGCGCCCCCTGTCAGAGCCCCCCCGCGGCTCGCGCGCCCGCGCCGCTGGGCCGGCGATCGATCGGGGCGGGGCTCGCGGGGCAGGGCTGGGGGGGGCGCGCGGGGGAATCAGAGGTGGCGCAGGCAGCGAGACAGTTCTGGGCCGGGGGGCTTCGCCCGAGCACAGATGCGAGAGCTTCTAGAACGTGGTCGAGTTGTTGGGGGGCGCCCCCCCGCGGAGGGGGGGGTGGCGGGCGTCGGGGGCGCTGCGGGTGTCCTGGCAGGAGCAGCATGGGGGCCGCCTCGGGGGTATCTACGCGGCAAAGTTCGACGACCTGATAGAGCCGGAGCCGTTGAAGTCCCTGCGAGGACTAGTGGCGCGTCGGGGAGTTTCTGCGCGGCGCGAAGGATTGCTGGTTAGATAACGGGCCAATCCACGCCGATCGGCCGCCGAGCGCCAGGACAAGTCGAGGAGCTATGTCTGGGATGACGTCGCGAGGGGACGGGGGCGGCCCAAGACGCCCAGGCCTGGAGGGCATCATGGTGTCCTCGCTGGGGGGGGTGGTTGCGATATGTCCAGACCGCGGCGCGTCGCCCGACGGCCGTTTCATCGACGACGCGCGAGTGGCGAACCAGGTTTGCGACAAGACATGGTGCCCGCCAGCGAAGCTGCCAGGGCGCCGGGAGGTGTCGAGGCAGGTGTTGTGGTGGAGGTGCCGGTGCCCAGAGGTTTGGGCGTGGTTGGCCAAGCGGGACTTCGCCCCGGCGTTCCAACTGCTTTGGGCGGAGACGTCGGGCTCCGGATCATGGCGGTGCCCCTGCTGACGGTGGGCGCTGCCGAGAGCGCGATGGCGGTCCACCTCGCCATGGTCCGTGTGGTGTGGGGGGTCCCGGAGAGCGGGCGGCGCGGGGGCGGCGCGCGTGGCGCGCGCCAGCCCCGCTACCCCCCCAGGAGGGGCTCCGCGGCGTAGTGCCGCGCGCGCGAGGTCTTTGTCGACGACGGGGTCCTGGCGGTGCTGGCGCTGGGCGCGAGGCCGTGGCTGTCGGCCTGGGCGTTTGATTTCATGAGCATGCAGGTACTGGGGGGGGGGGCGGCGATCAACCAGGGCAAGTTCGTGGATGAAGGCGAGTTCTTGATTGAGAAGCTGATCTTGGGCCTGCTCTTCCAGCCAGAGTACGAGGGCGGGGGTTAGTGGACAGGGTGGCGCCCCGTTAAGCAGAGATCCAGAAGATGAAGCATTTGCTGCGGGAAGAGATGGCGCCAGGCAGCCGCCGCGCCAGGTTGCGCGCGGCGCGGCAGCATGGGGGCCAGGGGCCCACCTCGCAGCGACCAAGTTGGCGATGGGTGCGGAGGCGGGGTCGGTTGATTTGCCGATGGCCCAGCCAGAGCGGCCCAGTGCGTGGGCCAATCCGAGAGGCGTGGGGCAGGAGCGGGAGTTCGCGTGGCAGAGGTTCGGGCACCTTGGGCGCCTTCTGGGTCATGGCCGCCCGCCCCGAGGCCCGGGGGGTCACGTTTCTCTCGTCGTTCGCCGGCATGTTGGAGCCGGGGGGGGGATTGGCCGCCCCGGGCGCCGTGTGGCGGGTAGCGTGGATCGGCGGGGGCGCGGCGTCTACCATCTCTGGCCAGATCGATTGGGGGGCGAAGGTGTGCGCGCGCCAGGATATGATCCCTTACCTGCAGGTGCTCCAGGTACTGGCTGACGCCGAGGTCGAGCCGGTCACCGTGGCGCGGGCCGAACTGTTCTGCATCGCGGACTTCGCGGCGGAGAGAGGCAAAGTCTGGGCGGAGCGCCTAGTCATCTACGCGGGCGATGACCAGGCGGTGCAGAGCGTGGTCGAGAAGAGGAAGGCCCGCAACCGCTTGGGGCTCCTTTTCATGCGCCTTCTCAACAACGTGGAGGCTAAGTAGCACTTCGCGGTCCTGGCCGCGCCGTGCATCAGGGCGCGCAGCAAGAGATGGCGGACATGCTGGCTCGCGCGTCGGAGCAGGACGTGGAGGCGAGGATGAGTCGTAGGGTTCTCCAGGTGATCGAGATCGCAGAGCCGTGGAGGGCTGAGGGCAGCCGTGGCGGCGCAGGGACGCCCGCCCGATCAGCGGGCAGGCTCGTGACGAGTAGTCCTTCTCGACCATCGGGAGGGGCGTGTACTTTCTTCGCGGCGTCGGCCACAAAAAAGAATGCTGCGCAGTCGTCGTCGTGTCACATATTTCGTTAGTTTGTTACCCCTTCGGGATTGTTCCCGCTGGCCCCAGTTCTCGTTAAACGGGGCGACTTTCGAACAGCGTGTGGGCGAGGGGGGAGGGGCCCGCCTCATAAAACATTCAAGAACCTCTCACATGACAGATGAGCATTCGAACGTGCCCAGTCGATGCAGGCACGGTGGCGGATCCGCTTGCGATAGCGGGCTTGGCCAAGGAGGGAAGGGGCTGGTCATGTCACGATTCGCGCCAGCGCCGTTTGGGAACAATAATGGCTTGTTCCAGTACCCGCGCCGGCACGAATTGCGACGTGACCAGGGGAGGGGGTGGCGAATGGGGCATTGGTATTAGGAAAATTCAGCTTGGGACCAATGCCCCATGGATCCATACCTTAAAGCCTGAGCTTAAAGCTGTGGCTTTCGGGCCGTTCCGTGGATCCATGTCGGGGGGCCCGTCCGTGGCTGAGGTTCGCCGTGGCCAACAACGCCCGTCGTTCCTTGTTCGGCGTTGCTTATGGTAGCACGATGACTGCATTGTGGGTGCGAGCGCGCAATCCCGGCTTCGATCCGGCACGCCGCCTCACGCATTCTGCGCGTGAGAGCCCTTCCCACGGCTGGCGCGTGAGCATGCGGCCAGCGCCGATCCCTGTGTGAAGAAACGTCCCACCTCCTCTGACGGCCGCACTCTCCCGCGCGGCATTCTGAGAGGCCCCCCCCCTTCCCAGAAGGTGTGCGGCGATGTCCTCTAAGCGGCCGATCCTTGTACGTGCAAGCGGTTTTCAGGAAGGACAAGCGAATTCAGACACCAGACACAAATAAACGTCGATTCCCATGAACATATGGGAACAAACGGGAAGTGGAAAGGAACACGAACATCCATCACACATGAACGCCTAAGGGGGATCCTGGGGCCTGTGTCTATTCAGTTGCGCGTCCCTGGACCGCTTTAGTCCTGTCCTCTCTGACGGCCGACCTCCCCTGCCGGGCGGCTTTCTGAGAGGGCCACCGCCTCGCGCAAAGGCGTGCCGCCGAGAGGGCCTCTGAGCTCTGAGCGGCCGATCCCAGTGACGGTTGAAGGAGATACCTTTGCAGCAACAGCCCATGAATTGGACACAACCAAATTCCCCGTCCACGCTCTGGCCTTGACATTGGCAGGCACTGCGTCCGAGCCGATGGGCTCCAGACTTGTGCGGCCCCACTTCTGAGAGGCCGCTTGTTTAATATTCAGGCAGGGGGCTGGAGGGGGGTCATGCGACGTGGCTTCTAAACGTTTGCTGCAATATTTTTCTTTCAACGGCAAGGAGCCTCTTTGCTTTTCGCGGCTCTCTCCCCCTCTCCCTTTCCCTCCTTTCCGTGCCTACTGTCCTCCACGCTGGCCGCGGCCTAGCGGCGACGCCCCCCATGGGGGCCAGCGGTCTCTCTGCCCTTCTCGATTTTGAACAACGAGAAGCATAGCCTTCTCAAGGCTGCCTTGTCGTCGTCGCCGTCGTCGATTTTCGGAGGGCTCCCCGTGGAATCGTACTGCAGGTTCGTGTCGTATCGACGCGGCGGCGACCCCAGCGCGGGCGCTCAAGATTGAACGCTGCCAGTGGTCCGAAAAACCATCAACATGGAACAGTCGGCGCTATCGGAAAGCGCCGGTCGTTCAAGGTTGAGCGATTCACGCGGTGTCAAAAGCCAACGTAGCGAATTCCAAAGGGTCTTGAAGATGTGCTAATGATTTCCTGGCTATTGGGGTCAATTACTATGATCCTACCTTCTGTAGAGAGATACCCTAATCAGGATTGGCCAGGAGGGGGTTGGCTGGGATGGTTGGCCGGGTCAGTGGGGCTTGGCTGGGGGGGGCCGGGCTTGTCGTCGCAGGGAAAGCTTGCTCCGTCGCCCGCGATAGTGCCGAATGATAGTCCTGACTCCCCTCGAAGTTCTAGGCACTTTTCATCTTCCTCCTTTTCGTCCTTGTTCAGCGGCTTCCTAATTCATTGTCTTCCTCCTTTTGTTTATCTTTGTCATCCTCCTGGATATGTTTCTCCCTTATCATCCTTCTCGTCCTTTTTCCTCTCTCACTGTCTGTGCGTCTGTGGGGGTAGGGGGCTTGGCCGTGGCAGTTTCGGGCTCTCGCGGTGCCCAGCTCTATCGACGACGCCCCAGCTGTTGTGTCAGGGCCCGGAGCGCAGGTGCCACACATGCTACACAATCAGTGGATTGGAAACCAATTGCTGGCATCATGTCTTATCTGAGCCACGCTGGCCTCAAGCTGGCCAGCCTCCAGCATCAGGGGCCCGAGCCTCCACGCAGCGGCAAAGTATACATATAACGGCGCACCGGGTCCGGGGGCCCGGGGCCGGGACCCCGACCACAAATGTGCGCCCCGGGGGGCCCGGAGGCCCGTCGGGGCTTGCCGGAGGCCTCCCCAGTCAGACAAGACGGCCCAAGAAGCGCCCAAGACGGCCCAAGAAACTTCCAAGAGGCCTCCAAGAGGGCTCCGAGATGCTGAAGATGGCCTCCAGACGTCCAAGGACGCCCCCAAGAGGCCCCAAGAAGCCTCCAACATGCGTCCCAAGAGGGCCCCTAGACGCAAAAATTGGCCCATTCCCTTCGTAAAACGTACATTTTCAACAAAGTTGTCTTTTGGGCTTTCCGACGTTACAGGACGGCCCAAGAGGCGCCCAAGACCGCCCCAAGACGGCCCAAGAAGCTTCCAAGAGGGCCCCAGGACAGCCCAAGAGGGCCCCAAGACGGCCCAAGAGGCGCCCAAGATGGCCCAAGAGGGCCCCAAGACGGGCCCAAGAGGGGGCCCAGAGGGGGACCACGAACCGCAAGCTCGAGCCTTCCGCCCCAAGAGGCCGCCAGGAGGCCCCCAGGAGGCCCCTCAAGAGGCCCCAGGAGACCCCAGACGTCCAAGGACGCCCCCAAGAGGCCCCAAGAAGCCTCCAACATGCGTCCCAAGAGGGCCCCTAGACGCAAGAATTGGCCCATTCCCTTCGTAAAACGTACATTTTTAACAAAGTCGCCTTTTGGGCTTTCCGACGTTACAGGACGGCCCAAGAGGCGCCCAAGACCGCCCCAAGACGGCCCAAGAAGTTTCCCAGAGGGCCCCAGGACAGCCCAAGAGGGCCCCAAGACGGCCCAAGAGGCGCCCAAGATGGCCCAAGAGGGCCCCAAGACGGGCCCAAGAGGGGGCCCAGAGGGGGACCACGAACCGCAAGCTCGAGCCTTCCGCCCCAAGAGGCCGCCAGGAGGCCCCCAGGAGGCCCCTCAAGAGGCCCCAGGAGACCCCAGACGTCCAAGGACGCCCCCAAGACGCCCCAAGAAGCCTCCAACATGCGTCCCAAGAGGGCCCCTCGACGCAAAAATTTGCCCATTCCCTTCGTAAAACGTACATTTTCAACAAAGTTGTCTTTTGGGCTTTCCGACGTTACAGGACGGCCCAAGAGGCGCCCAAGACCGCCCCAAGACGGCCCAAGAAGCTTCCAAGAGGGCCCCAGGACAGCCCAAGAGGGCCCCAAGACGGCCCAAGAGGCGCCCAAGATGGCCCAAGAGGGCCCCAAGACGGGCCCAAGAGGGGGCCCAGAGGGGGACCACGAACCGCAAGCTCGAGCCTTCCGCCCCAAGAGGCCGCCAGGAGGCCCCCAGGAGGCCCCTCAAGAGGCCCCAGGAGACCCCAGACGTCCAAGGACGCCCCCAAGAGGCCCCAAGAAGCCTCCAACATGCGTCCCAAGAGGGCCCCTAGACGCAAAAATTGGCCCATTCCCTTCGTAAAACGTACATTTTCAACAAAGTCGCCTTTTGGGCTTTCCGACGTTACAGGACGGCCCAAGAGGCGCCCAAGACCGCCCCAAGACGGCCCAAGAAGCTTCCAAGAGGGCCCCAGGACAGCCCAAGAGGGCCCCAAGACGGCCCAAGAGGCGCCCAAGATGGCCCAAGAGGGCCCCAAGACGGGCCCAAGAGGGGGCCCAGAGGGGGACCACGAACCGCAAGCTCGAGCCTTCCGCCCCAAGAGGCCGCCAGGAGGCCCCCAGGAGGCCCCTCAAGAGGCCCCAGGAGACCCCAGACGTCCAAGGACGCCCCCAAGACGCTTCGCGTCACCAATTTCTTCTCGCAACGATTCCTGGGTCTGTGACTCGACAGAACCTAAGCGCGCGCGAAGCGCGCGCGTGGTTCTAGTGACATCTATTGGTCCTTGCCTCAGCCCTGGTCATCTATGAAAGGCGTCCTGGGCGCCAAGCTTGGGAAATTCATCACGCTTCGCGTATCCCCACCAGCCCGTCCAGGAACGACGCCCAGGCGAGTAGAGGGTCGTCCTGATGGGCTTTTCGGCGTCTTGGGTGCCTCGGGGGGGCCTCTTTGGGCCGTTTGGGATCCTCTTGGGGGCCTCCTGGGGGCCTCTCGGGGCCATCTTGGGGCCCCTTGGTGCCTCCTGCGCGCTTCTTGGGGCCATCTTGGAGGAAGGCGATCAAAGAAGAGGGGAGCTTTCATTAGCGCTGCCCCCTCAGAAGGCCAAAATGGGGCCAAAACCTTAGTAACATCAATGATTTTGGCTTGAAAGAAGAGGGGAGCTTTAATTAGCGCTGCCCCCTCAGAAGGCCAAAATGGGGCCAAAACCGTAGTAACATCAATGTCTTTGGCTTCAAAGAAGAGGTTTTTTTTTTTTCTCCCCCCCCCCCGTCGGGGCCAGAATCCTCGTGAGGGGTGTCGAATTGTAGCCCTCCCAGGAGTCGAAAAAGACCCCTCCAACCACCCGCGGGACGACCTCTCCAGGCCCAGGGGGAGGGGGTAGGGGGAGGGGTAAACCCCTCCCCGAAGGGGAAGAAGGGGGGTTCAGAACAGAGAGAGCTCCCTAAACCACTCACGCCCAAAGGGCTGGTGGGATTCAGAGCTTTCGGTTTCCGCTATACCTCCGTGGAATGGCGTGGAGGAGTAAGTTTTACTCCTCATCATCGTCATCAACCTGACCCCATCAACACCCTTCCTCCTCCTCATCATCGTCATCACCCATTTCCTATCACTACCCGGCCTCCTCATATTGCTCATCTTCCTCCTTCTTCATCACCTCCTCATATCTTCCACATGGCATCACCCTGATCCCATCATTACCCTTCCTCCTCATCATCGTCATCATCCATTTCCCATCACCACCTTTGCTCATATTACTCCTCCTCCTCCTTCTTGATCTCCTCCTCACATCTTCCATATAGAAGGCTCCTCCTCATATCTCCCATATGAGAGGAGGAGGGGGAGTGATATGAGGAGGAGGATCGGTAGTATCAGTAGTAGTAGTAGTAGTAGTAGTAGTAGTAGTAGTAGTAGTAGTAGTAGTAGTAGTAGTAGTAGTAGTAGTAGTAGTAGTAGTAGTAGTAGTAAGTAGTAGTAGTAGTAGTCGTAATCGTAGTCGTAGTCGTAGTCGTAGTAGTAGTAGTAGTAGTAGTAGTAGTAGTAGTA